AAAAACACCTTTAATATCACAAATTCTTGCCGCCCTCAAAGGAGGTAAAAGGTTTAGTTCTGGAGTCAGCAGCTGAAGATTATGAAGAGCAGGATAAATGAAACAAAACCCGGTACTTATACATCCAAAAGAAAATAAGTGAACAAAAAGGTGTTTTTTTCTGCTAAATACTTTGGTAGTTTTTAAGTTTAATGATACATTTTTCTACTGGGAGGTTAGGTTAGGTCAATATCCTATTGTATTAAAATTCAGTTCCTAAGTAAAAACAGAGTTTTTCTTTTATACCTGATTTTTCCTCAAATGTTAAAGTTTTAAACATTAATAACTCAAAACTATAAAAATGTAACTTATCTTGTTTTGGCAGTAACCCGACGATATATTATTTTATTTGACATGTGTGACCAATTGTGAAAATACATTAAAAACTGAAAAATGGTAGGTAGAGTTTCATATATTTCTTACACAAAAATCAATGTCAAGCTTTCTACATAACCTGATATAATATTTAAGAATAATCTCAAAATATGAAGAAAAGTCAGTTGACTGACTAATAATGTTTATAGAAGGTTTTCAACGTATTAAAAACAAAACAAATATTACAATAACTAAAATATTTATTTATTCATTCATTAATAGTTGTAGTGCTTGAAAACAGTATAATATTGATAATAATAACTACACTTGCACAAAGTTTTAAACCGAACTTACAAATGATAAAACTATTGGAAAAAGTTAACACCCATTTTAAATTACCACAAGCCGCCTCTAACTTAAATTATTATTAGTTACAAGGCGAATCATATATTACTAAAAATCAAATTTTAATTTTAGCTTGAGAATATTTTCCAAATTATTACCGCGCTGAAATAGCCCTTGGCTTAACTAAACAAAATTAGGTCTATAAATTCATTATAAAATAAATGAAAAAGCAAGATACAACACAAATAGCCCAAAAAACTTTAATATTTCGAAAATTCTCAAAAAATTGGTTGAATTACGAAAAACAATCGTTTTGAATGAGAAGTTTTAAGTAATGACGCTAAGTAAGTGTAAAATAAGAGAAATGCATTATAAAATAGATGAAAAAGCAAGATAGACAACAAATAAACCAAAAATCTTTATTTCGAAAAAACTTGAAAACTGGTTAAATTACGAAAAACAATTGTTTGGAATGAGAAATTTTAAGTAATGACGCTAAATATGTGTAAAATAAGAAAAAATCATTATAAAATAGATGAAAATGCATGAAAGACAACAAATAATCCAAAAATCATTATTTCGAAAAAAACTCGTTTTAAGTAATGACGATAAATAGATATAAAATAAATTCTATATAGAATGAGTCTAAAAATTGGTAGACCCTGTATGCTCTTTTTACTAAAACTACCTATTTTATATCATTTTAAAATATGTATAATTTATAAACCATATACAGTATGATTCAAAAGATATGTAACGAAAAAACCAAGAAAAAATATTATTTCCATGAGTGGCTCTATATTTAAAAATTTCATCGGTTAAATTGCGTATTTTCTTAAGTTTTACTTTATTTTGAGTTTTCTAATAATGTGTAAAAATAAATATAAACTTACTATGATCAGTTTTTGAGATATAAGGTATACCACTTGATAATGAGAGATATGAACAACTAAACTGTTTCCCTCATTACTCACTACCAAAGGTAGTTTTTTGCACACAAATTTAGATATATTTTTAGAAAAATTAGACTTTAAGAAGCATTATGAATATATTCAGGCATCAAGATGTTAATAACAAAAATTAAAGTATTTTCTCATGCATAAAAAATTCATATTTTTCGACAAACCTCGTACATGACTGAAAAAAATTGAAATCTGATGTTTTTATTCTATGTTTTAGACCATTCAGAACATTTTACAAAGAATAATTTTTTTTGCAAAAAACTAATAATAAAAAAGTTTCCGATATAGAGCCGACTGTATATTTTATTTTTAACGAAATTAAATTATATAATATACTTGCCTATATTTTCGTGTCTTTCCAATGTCAATTTTCCTTAAATTAACAACACCTTTTTGGTTTAATTTACGTAAACCAGTTCTTACAGTGTTCACATCGAATCCAGTTAAATGTCTAATATCTGCGGCTGTACAACCTTTGTCGCCACTCAATAATATTTGATAGTAAACATTTCTTATAGTATCCATATTGTAAATCATTTCCCCGGAAAGTGGTTCCTCTTCTAAAAAAAATGTAAAAAAATAATTTTAATCCTTCGATCATAATAAACACTAGATAAGTATCTTGTCTATTTTTTGTTCTTAACATGAAACTAATAATAATATAGTTAATTACCCAAAATATTACTAAAATACTACATATATACGATAAGTAAATAAACATCGGGATAATATAAAGATGTACAGTTACAACTTGTGTGTTAATTTTCATATGTTAGAACCTCTATAAAATGCCTAACTAATATTTAATATTTTAAGTTGGTACTGTACAATGATATATGACAGTTGACATTTTTATTATTCATTGTTCTGTGTGAAGCCCACTGTGTTGCTAATTCAATAAAACTAATTCTAAAGTAAATCCTGATTTATTTAAATAATCCTGAGTGGATATTTAAGTTAGTTCACTCGCGACAGTCGTACATAAAAATATCGCGTAATGGTGAATACCAAAAGTTCGAAATTCTCAATGCTAATAAATTTTATTTTTGTAAGAGACTGTACAAAACACATGTATATAAACACATATGGACAAGTTACAATTTTATTCAATTTCATCCGGCAAACTCGCAAATATTTAAACGATATGGTATAGAAATTTGTGACTTCCTCATACTAATTTTAAGGATTTGTTTTGGTTCAAACAGAACCACTGATTCCAGTTCTCAAACACAGTGGAAGAATTCATTTTTCAAGAACAAGTCGCGAGTTTATAACAACCTCTTAGCTGATCGAGTTTTACATTGATACGTGAAGTAGCTACAATGTTGCCAAGTTCTTATAATTTTACGAAACTACTCGTCAACTGCTTTAAAAATATTTTTATTTTAAAAATCTATATCTTTTTACTAAGATAGTCAAAAAATTCAGCGATTATCTATAAAATTTGATAACTTCTTGATTTATTTAACATTAGTTTTTAAAAAATATGGTAAGAACCGTTTTCGAGATATCTTGAAATAAATGCATTGCTTGTGTACATGATTAGATTAGATTAGATTTAATTAGGACTATGGGCCATGTGGCCTCCCCCACCTCGACCTTTTCAGATCTATTGTGGATATCCTTTAATCATTGTTTAGAGTACCTTGTCTAATGCGGTCTTTTGTAGTAAACTCCATAGACTGGAAAGTAGTTCTCCGGTATAGCTAGTTGCCCTTGGTTTTTCTTCTCCAAGTGTAAGGAATCTCAGTCTTACTAGACCTTCGCAGTAGCACAATACGTGTTCTGCCGTTTCCTCTTCTTCTTGACAGAATCGGCACAAGGCCTCTTCTGTCAGACCGATATTGAACATATGTTTGTTAAGCCTACAATGCCCTGTTAATAGACCTACTAGTATTCTAGTATTTTTCCTATTAAGGCTTAGTAGATGCTCGGTGAGTTTAGACGATGGTCCTTTTAAGAACTTTTTGGCCTGTCTCTGTCCTGGTGAGTTTTCCCACCACTCCTGAGATTTTTTAAACATCCACTGCTTTGTGCATGTTCTGATAGTTGTTTTTGTTACACCACAGAAGGGTTCTGGGCCAATAAGAGCATTTGATGCTCCTTCTCGGGCTAGTAAATCAGCCTCTTCATTGCCTTTGTGTCCCCTGTGGCCTGGTACCCACGCTAAGGTTAGTCTGTTTTGACTACCCAGCTCTGTTAGGGCTTCCAAACAGTCCCACACAAGCTTTGAGTGTACCTGCATGGAACTGAGTGCTTTTAACGTCGCTTGACTGTCTGAGTATATGACAATGGTTTTTCCATTTACCTTCTGTCTTAATACTTCTTTTGCGCAGTGATGTATTGCTGCTATTTCTGCCTGGAATACTGTCGCATGTTTACCTAAGCTCAGTGAGATTCCTGTCTTTGGCTTGGTACTATATATACCTACTCCTGAACCTTCATGGGTTTTGGAGCCGTCTGTATACCAGGTGAGATCTGCATGAATAGGAGGTCCTCCCGTCCACGCTTCCCTGTCTGGTATACTTACTTTATATTGCTTTTGAAAGCTATACTTTGGAAGCATTTCGTCTGAAGGCATTCCCATTATTTGGTCGTTCTCCAACTCTTTATATAGCTCGCTGTAGTCGCGTCCATGCAAACTGCTTATGGGCAATGAACCTTTGTGCAGTCTGTATGTGACAGACCTGGCTTCGCCTTGAATGAATATATGTAGTGGTGTTAGGTTTAGCATGACTTCTATAGCTGCTGTTGGAGTCGTTCTCATAGCTCCCGTGGTACTCAGGCATGCTTGCCTTTGAATACCATTGAGCTGTCGAATGGCTCCAGCTTGCCTAGTCTTTGGCCACCATACCACCGACCCGTAGGTTATCATCGGCCTTATGACTCTGGTATATAACCACAGGGACATTTTTGGTTGTAATCCCCAATTTTTTCCACACAACCTTCGACATAAGTTGAAGGACGTTGTGCTCTTTTGGGTGACTTTTTGCAAGTGTTGATTCCATGTTAACCTGTGGTCAAAGATGACTCCCAAGTATTTGGCCTCTTGAGCGAATGGAATCTTCACTCCTTTCAGTACTGGTGACTTTAGTCCTGTCGGTACTTTTCGTTTTGTAAAGTTGACTATTGTGGTTTTGTGAGGGTTTACTGTTAGTTCCTCCTCTCTGCACCACTCGTCGACAATGTTTAGAGCGGTTTGTGTGCGCTCCGATATTGTACCTGCGAACTTGCCTCTTACGACGATCGCCAGGTCATCGGCATACCCTAGGCAGTAAAAATCTGCAGATATTAGCCTTTTTATAAGTTCATCCACTAGGACTGACCAGAGAAGGGGTGATAGTACTCCTCCCTGGGGGCAGCCCCTGCCTGCTTTAGCTGTCAATGTAGCTTCGCCTAGAGATGATGTTATTACCCTTTCTTCTAGGCTGGCTTTTATCCACTGACATAGGACTACTGGTACCCCTTTTATTGCTAATGCGTTAATTATAGATCTTGTTTGAGCATTACTAAAAGCTCCCTCAATATCTACGAAAGTGTACATGATAGGCTTCAAGAGTGTTAATTATGCACATTTTGATTGTTAAAATCTCGTTTCACAGATGGTCAAAAAATCTAATTTTTTTTAGTTACGTAAACGACACTTTCATAAACCTTATATTTAAATTTTATTGAATTCTTAAGAAAAGCCGTTTTACGAGTGAACTACCTTAATCTGTGAGACTTTATTATCAACCCTCGGCCAAGTTTATTACACATATATACAGATTCAGCTTAAATTTTTCTTGTATATTAACAGAAGGAACTGCGATAGCTCTATAAAGTGCGAGCACTCCTTAAATCCCACTCTATTTGCGTGTCGGAGTCGGTAGATGAGATAGGTCGGCGTCATGGAATTGCTAACGTCTTATTTCTGCTTTCTCTCTCTTATTCTTGCTTCATATGAATATTCGTCTTTCTGTTGCTCATTATAGATTTGTACTAAGTCCAAGAAAAATATAAGCAGAATCCGTTATTCTTGCATCCATTTTGGTAAATAAAAATTAAAAACAAAATGTTTCCGGTTTACTTAAACAGTCAAATTGGAGAAAAAATAATTATTGAAATTATTTTTAAAGCATCCCTCGATATATCTGGACAGGAAATGTTTTATTTATACTTTAAATTATATAGCTTAAAATGAGGTATATAGGAGTAGAATTGTAGGCAGAATCCTTACCTTTTTCATCATCTTCTTCATCAGATTCATCTCGATCATCTCGCCAATAAGCTGCGACGTTTACGTATGGATTAAGCAGTTCGTAACAGCTCACATTTTTTTCGGATCTATTTTTATTGGTGCATTCAGCGCTTGTAGCATTTGGATAAACCGTTTTATAAGGATATATCTATAAGATAATAATAAATATGAGAAATTTGCAAGGTTTTAATTAATATAATGAACAAGATCTATGAAATTAACACCGCCAAATGTAAATTTTTATAAAAATAAGTTGTACAACACAAATTTTCGTTCGTCCACTCTTGAAAGAAAAGTTATAGCAAAATTAAAAGTTTGAACCAAATTTCACATCAGCACCGCCATAAAAACTTTTTGATAATTTCAAAATAACATTCGATTGTCCATGATTTGTCCAACCAAAAGTTTAATTAGTCTTTAGGGATAATCTAAATACATTTCATACGATTTAAATACAGCAATCGTTTGTCCACACATTATTTTTGTTTGTCGATGCCTTATTTTCGTTTGTCCATCCAACAGAAATAAGTTATTAACAAATAAAAACTCAAAATATAAACAATTATTAATATAAGCAGTTTATAAAAATTAACTATTGCTTGTCCACAAATTATTTTGGTTTGTCCAGACCCAAAAATATGCGTTTTTGGTTAGGTCACGAATAATGAAAATTAAATGTTTTTTTGACAAAAAAAATTGCTTTTTCTGTTAATCCATATAGTTATCGAACAATCATACTTAATAAAATAAATTTAAAAAAATGTTATCAGAACTCACCTTTAATTTAACCAACTTTCTAAACTCTGCATTCTTTAGTAATTTTCCAATACTCGAAAACCTGTCCGAGTAAATTTCTCGTAAATGTTTGCTTTCTATTCTATATCCTGGTTGTCTTTTTAGAATATTTATAATTTCACTGGCCATGTAGCTTTGATGACTTCTTATATTAGTATAAAATCGTCTCAGTTGCAACAAGCTGCAAGTTTTGTTTTGATCGTAAAGCGGTGATTTTATGTAGAAAAATTGTTTGGATATTAGTTCGCTGTTGTATAATGCCTTTTTGTAATGGTAGACCGATTTTGGATCCATATTGAAAGCTGATCCTATCGACATTCGACCTTGCGTTAGTTCTCCTAATTTTCTGGAACGTCCCACTCGTTCCAGCATGCAGTATTCCGTATTGAGAAATGCTATTAGAGGGTCAATTAGATCACCACATATAGCGTACGTTCTTAAATTTTGTTCAGCTACGATAACCAATCCAAGTCCATACCTACAGAAGTATAAAAGATATTATTTTAATTCATACAAGATAGGGAAGTCAAAAAGTCTGGCAACAAGGTTTTTTTTGAAACAAATAAATGTATAATTGAGATTGTTGAATCTTAATCATTTAAAATTTTTATTTGTCATTTAGAGTGGTAATTTATTGATTAAATTCATCAAGTCACCTGTAATTTGAGTTGCCTATTAGTAGATTCGAATATATTTAGAGTACGATTCAACTAAGAAAAAGCCACACACATCATACCTGACAAAGGCCGCAATAATTTGCCTCTCTCTCAGGTCCATCCCATTTAAGCGTCAGTGGCGTTTTGGAGATTTTTTTCTAATATAGAGATACAATTGCTTAATAATTTGGCAACGCTGTACGACTGCTGCATGGTCCAGAATATAATTGGAACAGAAGCTATCGCGTAAACATGGATCCCTTATTATTGTGAGCCAAACTTCGGCGTTGCCAAGCTTTTACTTACGAACAAAAATACGGGTTCATCGGAAGAAAGTGAAGACAGCGAGAGTACTATACTCTGTTTTTAAACTAGGAGGAGCAAATTGAAAAGACGCATTTACACAGGGAAAAGTAACTAGATTTGTTACTAAGAGCGAGTTTCGAAATCACATACTTTGATTTTCTTTTACTATACGGAGAATGGTCGCACTGCGCAGCTTTCTGAGTGCCTTTTAAAAGGAGATAGAAAATTCCGCCATTTTGAACCCTTATTACGTGTTGCCTACATCTTGGCGCAATATTTTTAATAGGTGCGTTTTAATCATCCGCTTCTGCTTCGGAATTGTCGGTTTTCTTGTTTTAATCTGACAGGTTAGAACGACTGAACCGACAATTCCGGAAGCAGAAGCGGATGATTAAAACGCACCTGATATTTTGCTTGCTGCTGTCAGTGTCAGTTAATATTATTTTTGGAGTCACAGTTTATTACTAAAGAATCAGTTAGCTCACTCGGACCAGTTGAAAGTTACAAAATAACATCCACTCCAGGGATACAAATTCAGGATACGCAGAAGACTGCTGTTTTATTATAGGCGGTTGTCATATATTGTATTATCTGAGTTGCGCAGTGTATAAACTGGAACATTGAGAAAAAAAGTGCCGACGCAGAGTGAGCGATCTGATTCTTTAGCTATAAACTGTGTCATAGGGTTCAAAATGGCCGCGCCCTATGTTGGGCGTGTCGGACCTCTCTCTTGCCCCGTATAGTAATCAAAGTATGTGTTCGAAATATAGTCGTGTTCAAAATTTATGAAATAATTATCTTTATCGGCCTTAGTCGGTGAACGGCCAATGAGCGGTTAAGAAACGAATAAATGTCATAGAAGTAATTTTTTAATTGGTCCCAGACAACGGTCGCAAATTTCACATTATTGTGATCTGAAATGTGTGTCTAAAACGAAATGTCACTGCCAAATTAAAGTCAATATGGTTGTTGATTGATGTCAGAAATACTTTTTTCTTGCTTTTGAAATCGACTTTTTGAGAATAATCTTTTTAAAATGGATATTAAATATTTAAGAAAATTGTTAATGGAATATCCAGATGTAGCCAGGTTAGTATAAAATATAAAGATCTGTTTACATTTTTAAGGATATAAAAAGTAAAAGTTAATCAGTGAATGACAAGTGGATCACACAGTAACTGGTATCTCTTCTATGAGTAATGTGGATATTATGGCTTATTTAGTGTTAACCCATGGTTAATGCGCTAGAGGGCAAATAAAGGCATTCAAAAGTTTACAGGCCTATGAGTCACAATTTGTTTTGAAAACTGGAACCAACATTTTCATAACACTACATGTCAACTGTAGCGCCTTGGAAGCACTACATACTGACTCCAACTCATAATATATTGATACATGTCACACCCATGCCACACATATCAATATTACCTATTAAGGCAGCTTAGTGGGAGGCAGGATTTAAGTGCACCCTATCTATCTACTTGACGACCTCGGTTGTCAAGCATTAATATTTATTTAAAAAAGAAAAATGTCAATTATATAATTTTGTGTCATGACGGAATTGTCTATTTTATTATATTAATATATACCCTTTTACAAACCGCTATATTATTTACAAGATGGGATCTCCAAAGATAAAAGATCCCATATTGGTGACCCTGAAAAATCCGTAACCCAAAGTTAAAAGATCCCATAATTGGTAACCCCGATAGAATCCGTACCTATGATTCCTCACCGCTTAATTAACAGCGGAAGCAGCCGAAGGAGTAGTAGCTAACAGCAGTATCAGCGAACACCAGCAGCATCAGGATCAGCAGGACTAACAAAATCAAAATTTTTATACCTTAATTTACACATCCGATGTACAGGGTGAGTTTAATCTCCTTTCACTAACTGCCACACAATGAATAAAGTCATTAGAATTAGCATTCAATTCAAAAACATTTTCAAAACCAAACTATTAATCATTATTAAACAACACGAAAGCAAGAATATCAAAAATTAAAATACAAACATAAACATATATATTGATCGTCCATGTATTTATATACAATTTACAATTATCACTTAGTAATTCCCTACATGAGTATATTCATTGACTCAAATAACAATTACTCTGTTACCAAAGAATGGTCAAACGTTTATCAAAAGAGCAGGGCCGACTAGAGGGGGGGGGTAGCCGGGACTAATTCCCGGGGCCCGGGCTTAAATGGGGGCCCGGCAGCGCTGTAAGGGGGGCCCGACAACAGGTTTTTTTTGTTCTGCATGAGAAATTGACATAAGATGAGAGAGGGAAGTTAAGTTTAAATTAAAATTAAATACAAGTAGAGGAAAACTTTTAGCCTAGAGAAGTATTTTTCGGTTTGTTTTTTTTTTAGAAAAGAAGCAATTGCAGTAGGTAGTAGAAGAGGTACAGTTTTTGGTTAAAGATTTTTTTGTCACGGGGCCCGATCTAGAGAATTGTCCTGGGGCCCGGCCTGGCTCTCGGCGGCCCTGCAAAAGAGACAACATAGCGAAGCAATCGCTTATTAAAGCCTCTTTAATTGATTAAGCAGAATCTAATAAACTACATATGGTCTACAGACACCATCATAGTTTTGGATTCAATCAATATTTTACATTTGACCCATTAATTTATTAATTTTCCAATTGGTCATTTTCTATATACATAATAAAATTAAATATATATTTATTATTTATTAAAAATACTTTACTACAACCAACTATATTATTATATTTTGACGATCAACCAATTCAAACATAATTAAAACAAATTAAAAAAAAACTTATTAAATGAATTTTTCAAAAAGGGGGAAAGTATTGTAGCGCCTTGGAAGCACTACATACTAACTCCAACTCATAATATATTGATACATGTCACACCCACATATCAATATTACCTATTAAGGCAGCTTAGTGGGAGGCAGGATTTAAGTGCACCCCATCTATCTACTTGACGACCACGGTTGCCAAGCATTAATATTTATTAAAAAAAGAAAAATGTCAATTATATAATTTTCTGTCATGACGGAATTGTCTATTTTATTATATTAATATATACCCTTTTACAAACCGCTATATTATTTACAAGATGGGATCACAAAGTTAAAAGATCCCATATCAACATATATTTTTTAAAGTGAACTATTCATACATACCTATGTATTAATTTTAAGTATTTTTAAAATATTTTTTGTGAAAGTAATGTTAACTCATTGTGCCAAATTAAGATTGTCCCTAAAGTAGTAGATGGTGTTTTAAATGTTATAACAATTATATAAATAGTTTTATTCTATTCTAATAAATAAAATTTGCTTGAATATTTAGTTACATTTTATTCATTTTGATTAGAAATTCATCAATTTTTAGTTTTAAAAAATCAGTAATAAAATTATTTTTTTCTAAAATACTTCGGAATTCATCTCTTCATGGTAATCTCCCATCTTTTTACCTTCAAAAACCAATAATGCATTTTCTACAAAACCTTCAGAATCAGCATGTAAAATAATAAGGTGTCTTCCCTTTCTTGTAAGGCTTTTCAGGAATTGCTACCTTTAATAGTCCTCAGTGTAGAACGATCCATAATTGTAGATTTTCAATACAATTGCTTACTGAAGAACTATTATTTACGAAATAAAGTAAAAAACTAAGTAATGGATGAGATATCAAATTATAAAATGTCAGAACTGTCAACAATATCAATTATTAGCTAATGTTGATGCTAAAAAGTAATGTGTGAAACTGACTGTAATCTGACCAATCAGAAGGCTACAGAATTGCCAACTTAAATTCAAATCGCTCCCCTTAGTTTAAAAACAGTATAATAGTTCATTAACGGACGAACGAGGATATACTCCTCTAGTTTCACTTTTTGCACTAGTGGCATAAATAACTATTATTTCAATTGTAATAAAAATCTTAAATTACAAAATTGTGTTGCTATTTTTATTTACTGAATGTCTAAAGTCGAAAAATATATGTAATGTTATTTTAGTTTAGTTATTTAGGTAATATACAAATGTTTAAATCATTAAAATTTAACTTTTTAATCCAATAAATGCTTTTTTGTTGGGAAACTGCTTTAATTCTTATTTAAATAAGAGCCTACGCCACTGGTATATCGATCTGGAGCAACGGAGAAGGAATATTTTAAAGTGAGGCAGACGATGACTAGTTGATGACGCCCGTGGCTTTTTCTAAGTTGAATCGTACTCTACGCGTATTTTGAGACCCAGTCACGATTGGTGATTCGTACCATGAAAAGACTCAAGACTTCGTACTTGAAAAGGTCAGTGCGAAATAAAACGTATCGAGAACCAGTAAAACTAAATTTTTGGCGCAAAACTTTATTTGTAAAATTAGAATAAAAAACCTGTGGTAGGAAAAAACATGGATCATCCCTTGGATACCGGAATTACGTAGAGCTTTCACGTCACCCCTAGATGTAGTTTGGGTAAGTGATTTGGTCTCAATCGTTTTTTCTTAACTGTTTTTATTTTTTTTTTATTCATTTTTTAAACTATTTCTTAATAGAACAAATTTGAAAGACATACAGTCTATTTTTCTCTGCCTACTGTTAGGCTATCAACTGTTCTTACTTGCGGAAACGTACATTTTTGTATCATAGTTCTTAGAAAGTCTAGATACCACCAAGGGTATGCTTGACCTTAGGTACGAAATACCTAATTTTATTAGAAATTTAATTCACAATCATAATCCAAAAATCGTGCAGATCTCTAACTTTAAGAAATACAAACTTTTTTATCATATATTCGGAAATCAATCCTCAACACTTGTATCATAACTATTTTATAATAATTTATATTTAGGAGTATTATAAAAAATGGTCATACTTGTCTTCTGCTTGACCAATCGTCAAATTGATGACATCACTTGAGATATCGACTCTCTCGTCAAATGTTGAACAGGAACCCAATACGTAAGAATCATATACTGGTTTTGGAGGATAAATATCGGGCAATTCATAAGCCTAAAAAAATGTAAAATTTGTTATAAAAAAAACGAAACGAAAATAATTGAAGTTTTCTCACCAATTCCATTACGACACCAATATCAGTGTTCATGTAATCGAAACGATTAAAAATTTCCAATTCTTTTCTAGGAACTGGTAATTCATAGAACTTGAAGTGAGTACTGCAAGTTATTACATTTTGCCATATGAAATTTTGGACTGATTGAATTACGCAAGGAAAATTTTCTAAAGTGAAAGAAAATCGCTTCCAAAATGCTAAAATTTCAATGTTATTTAAGTTTCGAAACACATTGGAGGTACAAAGTTAGTTAAATGGTAAAAAAGTAGTGTTATGGATTTAAACAGAGTTATATGTACAGAATTAGCGTAGTAAATATTATTTTATCTTTAGCTTATTCAGCACTTTAAAATTTATAAATATTTGTAACTTGTTTATTTCGTAATTCTTCAGATATTCTTCATACATTAGCGTTATAGTTTAGGAATTAAAGAGTTTAAAAAAAACGGTTTTTCTCTCAAAAAACATAATTGGCGCAGTCAGTAGGATTCGCGCGGGCTACAAAAAACACAATTAACGTTCGCATCGTAACAGTGATTTTTCGATAGACTTTGGCCGTTTTAACGCCTTCAGTGCGAATTGAACTTTCCTGTGGGCTACGACAATTCCATCGAGGAATAAGCTTCAGTGAAGAAGTCAGATGAATCCGAGAAAAATGAACATTTATTAGATTTCGGTAGTCGAATAAAGTTATTAATGAATGACAGTGACTCAACGAATCAGTAATGATGTCACATTATCAATAAATGATCAAATTTGTCAAACCACCATAAAGACAGCTTTAAATACATTTATTGCAGGTTGTCCATCAATTTTAAAAAATAATTTACATTTAAAAAAGCCAGCTACTTTAGAAGACTTATGTTACAGAATTTGAAAATTTTGAAAAATTATATGGCAATATTGAACATAAACAAATGCCTAAAATTAATATTAATCATAATAATCAAAATATAAAACCTAATAATAATTTCTCAAACATGAGACAACAAACTAATCAAAAGTTTTATCCTTTTACATATCAAAATAATAACTCTAGATTTTATCCTAATACTAATTATAATTATCCGAGATATAATAAAAAAAAATATATATATCAAATGAAAAAGAACAAAAATATAATTTAGTTTTGGAAAATAATTCACTGTTAAAACAAAACATTGACCTTCTCCAAGATAACATAAAGCAACTAAAACAAAAAAGGAACACAACAAAAAAATCGAAATCGAAACAACAAAGAGGTCAAAATCAGATCAAATTCAATCAGCTGTTAACACCTCACGGCAGGTACCCGCAATGTTGCCAACTCACCCAGGATTTCAGGAAAAATCTTCTACAGCATTGTCAAGTCCATCAAAAAATACTAAAAGCCCCGTAACGGTACAACGAGATCTGATGAATGATATTATAAATCTAAATAACTCTATAGATGAACAACCAAAACCTGAGAAGGAAAATGATCATGATTACACAAAAGTTACACATAAAAGAAATAAAAACAAGGAACAAACAAAAAGAACCTATGGTGAAAATGAAGCAAATAATGATTTCGGAGTGGACAAAAAGGCCTGGATATACCTTTACAGAGTACAGAGTCATGTAACATCTAATAAAATAAAACAGTATCTAGATAACCAAGATGTTTTCAAAAACTCCAATATAACAATTAAGGAACTACCAACTGAGGAATCCCAAAATAAATGTTTTATGCTGGGCTTTGATTTCAACTTGAAAGATGAGATATACAAACCATCTACCTGGCCTAAATCAGTTGCCTACAAGAGATTTTACTTCAAAAAGTACAACCATTATCAAAATCGTAGTAAGGATTTTTAAAAAACTCTCCACCTAACTTAGAAGCTAAAAATGAAAAGCTAATTACTTATTTCCACAACATAAGAAGTCTACAAAACAAATTGGATGAATTACAGTTAATCCTTAATGACTTTGAGGAGAAACCTAACGTAGTTTGCTTAGCAGAACCTTGGTTAACAGAGACAAATATCAATCATTTCCAGCTAGGTTTATATCTGGGAAGCTACCATTGTAGGTCTCAAAGTGAACATGGAGGCGTGTTAATCTACATCAAAAATGAACTTAAAGTAAAGCTACTGCCAATAAATAACTTATCAGTTAACTCTCACTGCGAGTTTACAGGAATCAAAATTTTAAATTTAAATATTACTATTATATGTATGTATAGATGCCCTTCAGGTAATGTAAATCTGTTTTTTGAAATTTTAACCCAAGTTCTTAAACATGTGTATTGTCAAAAAAATGTTTTTATCTTAGGTGACTTCAATATTGATATTTTAGTTGATAGTAACTTAAAAAATGATTTCATTAACTTACTGAGATCTTATAATTTTAACTATTTAGTGTCGGAACCTACCAGAATTACAAAAAAAATCAAAATCTTGTTTAGATAATTGTTTAGCAAACATCCCTCCAGCGGATTGTAAAATAGATCTTGAAGATTTTTACCTTTCACATCATAAATATATCATAAAAACGATTAACTTACCTCAAAATCATTGCTTAGATAATCAGACCAGCACCATAAAATTTAGACCACTAAACGAAACAAGAATAAACGACTGCATTGATTACTTAAAAAACCATGACTGGACTTTACTTACAGATTCAGATAGTGTAGATAATATGTGCCATATATTTCTAGAAACATTCGGACATGCCGTTGAAGAATATTTACCAATAAAAACCAAAAACGTTCATACACGAAATAAAAATAAAAATGGTATAATTATGAACTAAAACTTATTAGACAACAGCTAAACGATTTACACCAACTAACAAAAGTGATAAGATGATAATTTAGAATTAGAAATTAAAAATCTAAAACTTACATATAAAAATAAAATTCGGGAACAAAAACAAAACTATTTCACAAATAAAATTAATTCATCCAAGAATAGGTCCAGAAGTATATGGCAACTCATAAAACCAAATAAAAAAGATAAAAAATTCAAATAACACTAAACTTAACCCTAGTGATCTTAATAATTTTTACCTCAATGTCTCTAATAATATCACAAATTTGTTACAGGCACCTATCTCAAATAGGGAGCCCTTAGACTCACTGAAAAAGCATGTTTGGAATAACAATACTCTTTTTCTATATCCGGTAAATAGGGAGGAATTAAAAGATATTGTTAATGAATTATCCAATAGCACAACATTGGATGTGTTTGGTATTAGCAATAAAATTCTTAAATTATTAGCAGACGGTATATATGATCCACTCATCGTGATTATAAATAAATGTTTTACTGACGGCACATTTCCTCAGGATTTAAAGACTTCAAAAGTTTCTCCTATATACAAAAAAAAAAGGAAATGAAAACCTTCCAGAAAACTGCAGGCCTATATCAATAGTACCTATACTATCAAAGCCTATTGAAAAAGCCTTTAACAATAGACTTTTTGCATACCTTAACAAATTTAATCTTCTGAGTGACCAACAATTTGGTTTTAAAAAGAAGTCCTCAACAATAAATGCTATCACAAAGCTGGTGACTGATATTGTCAGTGCTTTTGAGGATACACAGATGCTTTCAGCAAGTTTCTGTGACCTCTCAAAGACATTTGATTGTGTTAGCCACAGCAAACTATTGGATAAACTCCCATACTATGGTATAATAGGTAAAGGTCTTGATCTCCTGTCCCAGTACTTAAATGACCGTTGTCAATTTGTACAAATTGGAAACAATACTTCAGAAACTCAAAAAGTTCATGCTGGAGTACCCCCAAGGCTCAATTCTTGGGCCAACCGTCTTTATACTATACGGGAATGACCTACCTTACTATCTGAAGCCTACTTTTTCCGTTCAGTATGCAGACGACACTACTTATTATCACTGTAACAAGGACAAAGACGAGCTAGAAACTCTTGATGCTGGAGCTCTTGTCTAACTTATGGTTCTCTAGTAATAATCTTTTACTGAATACTGACAAAACAGTCAAAATGTTGTTTACACTCAGAGATATACCTCAGCAAACTAAATCAACAAAATTCTTAGGTTTAACATTAGATAATAAACTTGATTGGAAACAGCATATATAGAGTCTATCAAAAAAACTATCTAGCCCGCTGTTTTTAATCAGAAAATTATCATGGTACACTACAAACGAAGTCTGTAGAACGGCCTATAAGGGTCTTTTTCATAGCCACCTGTCATATGGGATACTGCTAAGGGGAAATTCTGTAGACTGGCAAAAAATATTCATATTACAAAAAGCGGCAGTACGTGCAATAACAAAAAGGCCTCATCTAGAGTCATGTAGGCCATTATTCAAGGAACAAAAAATATTGACACTCCCATCTCTTTATATATTAGAATGTTGATTATATGTAAAAACAAATAAAATAAATCCTATACTACTAGGAGATACCCATGAGCACAACACTCGGTCAAGAGAACAATTGTTATTACCACAACACCGACTAACATTAACTGATAAAAGCTTTATATGCAACTCTATTAAACTATATAATAAACTTTCCCCACAGTTTAAGCTTTTTAATGAATATAAATTCAAAAAAAAGATCAAGGAATTATTATTTTATCTAGTAGTTTATTCAATCAAAGAATTTTATGAGGCTGATTTAAGTAATTTTGCAACACGAAAAATTTCCTAACTAAAATGTCAAGTTGACGTCACCAAATTGTTTTCTATATAAATATAAAATGTAATGTATATATAAAATTTATTGTTTTCTGATATTTGACGATGCTAAAAACTGCTGTGAGTTTATTTAAGCAAATAAAGTATATTCTATTCTAATTACATAGTAGAAATGAATAATTATAGTGCAAATAATCCACTGCCATATGTAGATATTAAAAAGCCGCCAATAAAACTTCTTATTGATACTGCCAGTTCCAAATCAATAATCAGACCATTCATTTTAAAACAATATTTTCCTGACACAATTTACCTCGCAAATATAACATTAAAACATCGCTTGGGAGTAAACAGATCCGATATCAGGCAGATATAGCATTCGCAGAATTTAATTGCCAGAACGTGATTAATTTCATTGTATATGATTTTAACGATTTTTTCGATGGTGTTATTGGTCTTACTGAGCTAGTTAACATGAATTTAAATATAGTTTTAATAAACAAGAAATTAATAGGCCCGTATATTGAAATTCCTTTTAAATACAGACAACCAAATGATATAAATTCACATAAAAATAATTTAATAGATGATGTATCATCTAAAAATATAATAGATGATCTTGATGATGGAAAACTTCACAAAATAGATCCATATAATAAAAAAGAATGTTCATTGTTGCATAATAATATTAAAATAAATACAGCAAATATTTGTAATAAAAAAAATAAATTTTCATCAACAAATAATAGTATTAAAACCAAAATGAAAAAACCTGAAACCTACAAATGTTATAGAAAATGAATAAAATTTAAAAA